ATGGCATAAACATTTGGTAGTGATGCCAATATGAATAAACGACTGTCTATGTATACACATTTTCTGAATTTTCGGGGTGGGAATCATTTAGGGGATTCCCTTAAACTCGTAAAGTCTTAAACCGTGTAAAACTCGTAAGTTTAAGAGGCTTTTATGGGAACGCCCTCTTTGCGAAAAGGTGTAAATAGGTGAAGCAATTTTTATTTCGTAGTATTTTCCATAACATCCCGCCATCTTGTCTCTATCACTCTTGGCTAAAATACAATCGAAAATGCCGAAAATTAGCAGAAAACCTATGTAAGTCCATACAGTTAGTGGATGAAATTCATTCATTTCATTCGCGTATTATTTTTGACATTTATTTTCATTATTTTTTCATAAATTTTAGTATAAAAATTTCGAGCCCTCGGCAACACTGAAGTTTACGAGCTCGTTTGCACATCAAATTTGCCTCGTAAATTTACGAGGGGCTCGTTGCTGACTCACAGCGCGTGGCTTATAGACAATAAAGTTGTTTGACGAGCTTTTCACACACCATCAGGGTTGCCACTTTGGTAAATTGTTACCAAAATTGGTAGAAAAAATTTGGGTTGGTAAAAAGGTAAATTTTTTCTCATTTTGGTAGATTTTTGATGAACTTTCCGTTCCCGATTTATTTTTCGTAGTTATCTCTAAATATATTATAAATTTCTTTGCATACTTTTTATATAATTACATACGTATAAATGTATATCGATATAAGGCGAACATATCGCGCTCCATTCAAAACTAATTTTACTGGAATCCGGAGGAGCTTTTGATTGCCTAAATATTTTAAATGATTATTTAAATATAAAGAAAAAATTAACAAGTATGTAATTACGCACTATGATTGTTCGCAAAAAAAAAAATAAATCAAAGCCATTTTTTATCAATGGAAAAAAATAAAAAAAATCAACGGGAATTTTAAGCAGCACATTGTTGGCTATAATCAAATAGTAGTTGCTTTAAAACTCCCTACCTTAAATTGTTCTAAAAATTCAGAGTAAAAAATTCGAAATTTAGACGAAAATTTTTGGAATTTTTCTATATGTTGTATATAGTTTGAATCGTCGATTTTTATGGATTTAGTTAAAGCAATAAAAAAATTTTACTCGAAAAATATTGCGAATATTAGAAAAAATCACCTTTTTAGTCACTGTATTTGTCTATAATAACTCGAGTTGAAGTTTTTCAAATAATGAGGTTTCATTGTTGCCTTTAGTTCCCTCACTTCCGATTTTGGTTGAAGGAAATTGAGAATATGCCAATAATATGACTCAAATACCGTATAACTAGTTAAATAAAAAGTTCTTAAAAACAATTTTAATTCTTATTGAAATAACAAAAAAAAAATATAAAAAAAAACTATAGTTTTAATTAAAAAAAATAAAAAAATAACAAAACTATAGTTTTTATTAAAATAATTATAAAAAGGTTATTGGTAGACATTTCCCAGATTTGGTAGATTTTTTTCAAGTGGATGGTAAATATTTTTTTTCGTCAGTGGCAACCCTGCACACCATACTACTTGTGCAAGTTGTCCTGTACCTGCCAATGTTACAGCCAATTTTGACAAAATGCAAACGCATATTAGCTTCTTTCAAAAGCAGTATAAATAATTACAAATGGGAAGTACAAGAAAGCACAAAGGGCACATGGTAAATAAAATCCATACAGTTTGGTTCTGGAGGTAAGCACACTATGGAACAGTGCCTTTCAGATGATACACAGAACTTTGTTAACAAACGAATCCATTTCGGCTATACTTGTGACTTCAACAAAAGCTCCATAGAATAGTCTTGCAAAAAAACAAGGTCATTTTAAAGGAACTCCATTCCCATACGACACTTTATTAGTTTTTGCTGACGAAGAAGTAACTGTTTCACTAGTTATTTCATTTATTACCGTGCTGAATCAGAAATTAAAGAAATTTCGAAAACGAAAGAAAGGGCACCCACGAATACAATGGAAGGACCAAGTGCAGAAGACCCGTATGCTCACGGGATGTACAACTGGCGTAACCACGCAAGGGAGAGAAGTTGTTTGGTCTCGGCCCAAGATGAAGAAAGATAATGTAATACAAAACGTCTGGCATCACTGGTAAGCACTCGCATTAGATTGGTGTTTAACTAAGCATCTAATTGTCTCTAAAGCGTGTGGAAAGGGGGAAAAACGTGTCCATGGTGACGAGACAAAAAAATAAAAATAAAATATTTAATTCAATGAAATCGCTTGAAGAACGTCTGAGAGAATTAATGTTTTGCGAGTATTGTATGAAATTTATTTATAAAATATTAAGTTATTTGTATGTATGTATGTACATATGTTTATATAATTTATTGTTTTGGTAACAGAAGCGATGGTGCATACGATTGTTGCTTTGCTAGTGTGACTTTTTGTAAAATAAGTACATCAAATTTTTTATGAATATTTTCTACAAATTCCATTATTATTTGAAGAATATCGTACTTTAAGCCGACGTCAGACAAACATAATTTTTTTTTTTTTTTAGATAATGACGCTGAAATTGCATATAATTAACAAAGTACATACAGTTATTCAGTTTCATCCCAAATTATTTTATTCATTAAGTCGAGTAGCACGCGCGCGTAACCTGCAGATGTACTTGGTAATTAGAATCATTAATTTACGAGACACTTATAGCTGTTAATTGAGATATTAAAGGCATATAAAACGCTCAGATATTTTAAGTATTGCTCTGTATTTTGCTTTTGCTGTCTTGCGAATAATAAAAAAAATATTACCTTGTGTCAACTTTGACCAGACTAAATACATACGGATGTACATACAAATTATTTCTGAGCTAAGTGATTTTAGTTGTTCTAGTTTTAACCCCTAATGAACAATGTACATTGTACATATGTATGTACATACACACCTGCAAACACAAATCGAATCCCTTTTTCGAATGCATTTTTAACCTTAGGAGATCTAAGACTAGAATATGTGATTAATGATATGAGTATTTATTGACTTTTTTGGTTGATTTAGCGTAATTTAATAGAGAACGCCTGGCATCACTGGCAGACACTCGCATTTGAATAGCTCTTAGGCAGCGCTGGGTTGTTATGGGTATTTTTTTTTTATAATTAAACTGTGGTATAAACAAACCATCACTAAACGATGCGGCAAAGGGGAGAAACACGTGTCTGTGATGAAGACGATGTAAAACAAAAAAATTTTCTGCTTGCCAAAACATCCCAGTTGGAAAATGTAATGTATAGTAATCGAAAAAATAAGCGGTAAGACAACACTTTTCACATCCGAAAATGCATTACTTTCCCCAAGGCGATGTCATAAGAAAAGTTGGGCATTCAGTTTTGCATTACCTAGTATCGAGAAATGAATGCTGATTACATAGTTAGCAGTAATATTATCGAGAACTCATAAGAGGTACATTATATTATTTATCAGGCATGTAATGCATTACTACTTTTTCGACTGGGATACTGCATTTTCTGCATTTTTTTAAGCTTTCTTCAAAATTGGATTTCTTGTTTCTGTTTTTTTTTTTTTTGAAGCGTTAGGGCTTTCGTGCTCAATTCGTTAATCATTTTTATTTTGTATGGAATGGTCAGAGTTTCAAGGTCTGCCGATTCAGCTTCCCTTAGAAGGGGAACATTTAAAAAAAAAAAATAGTGACACATTTGAATTTTCGAATGACAGCGCTATTGGGAGGCCTTCTAATACAGCTTCTAAAAATGATGGTCGTCTTCTTAGAAATGCAGGAGATGAAAGTATCTAAATTGCGCTGCTTTGTTGAAAATTGGTATTTCTTCATACTTATTTTTTCAATAATTTAGAAATGAATTAGACTGGTGCTTTGCATTATTGCCTTTAAGTAGATAGCAAAGGTCTTATTGCAGGGTTCTACCTGAAAACGTTTATTTAGAAGCGCTCCTCATTTTCCAACAGGTCACTTGAAGAGCGTTTGAGAGAATGAAAGCTGTATAAAATTTATTTTTAAAATATTTATTTAAATACAGTGCCGGCAAGTTTAAAGCGCTGGACTTCCCTACTTTTAAAACACCTAAGGGGAAAATAACTTTGTCTAGGTCTTTGTATGAAGGCGCCTTTGCTTCAGGAGGACACGAAATTCGGATTCAAAAAGGGATTCAATGTCTCGAAAAAATTAGGGGAAAAGGCCGTTCAGGAATTTTAATTAATTCATTTATTTAAAACAAATCAATAGCAAGCCAATCTATGAATGGGACAAAAACATTTCTATAAAGTAGAAAAACAAACTCAGGTAACTAAATGTTATATCTTTGATACTTACATAAGTAAGTGGAATTATTTAATTTTGACATAAATGAGTAATTTTGTGTGCCTTTCACCGCAATCATCGATTTCTTCATATTTTCAATAACATTGTAAAATTCTACGAAGGCAAAATATGTTTTCTTTTTTCTTTAAATTTTTACCATTAGGCAAAAACTTAAAAATTTGCATATACTTGATACATTAATTTAGCAATTCGTCCAAGTTTAGATTATCTTAAACATGCTACCTATATTGTTATAAAAAATCAATGAAAAGACGCTATTCAATTGGCCGGCACTGTATAATGGGATTTTTTTTGCTAACAAAAAGGGATAGTGCATACGATTATACTTACTAACTTAACTTGATCTGCTGGTGCGACCTTTTAATGAATTTTTCACGTTTACTGATTTGAAGGATTTTGTACTTTATACCGATTTTGAACCTGTCTTTACATACATATAGCTATTACTTTTATTATATAATGACATTGTAATTAAAAGTGAATTTTTAAATGCATTTATTTAGTTCCTCAGTTTTATTTTATTTATTTTTTTCATTCACTCGATTAGCGCGCTTGTTAATTATGAAAGGATTATTTTTTATTAGATTAAAATGTTTAAATACTAGTTGGTTTGCAAAGCACATAACCAATTATTTATTCAGTTTTATTCTAATTTATTTTATTCACTCACTTGACCTGCACACGCAATCGTAATAAGATGCAGACGTAATAAGAAGCAATAATTAACGAGACACTTATGGCTATTAGTTGCGATATTAAAGGGCTATAGGGCACTCAGCTATTTTTAGTTTTACTCTTTATTTTTCTTTTAATTCGTATTTCTTTTGTATTGCAAATTTTAAAATTTCCCTACAACTACGCTAATAACCTTGACGCTTTTTGATAGTTGCTCTCTATAATCAAAGATGGCCCTCTACATATGCCACATACATTTGTATAGCAACAACGCAAAATGCTTACACAAACACTGCGCTAAAAACAGTCCAAAATTAAAATATTCCAGCAGCATCGACCAGTATCGCCTCGTAAACACCTTATGGCTTCATCTGACTAATCGAATTCTGTTTGGAAATATGTAAGTAACTGCGTGCTTGTCGGAGCTGGTTTCCCCATCTACTACTAACCTCCCCCGCCCTAACCCTTGGTCGGTTAATGCGATGCTGAATTTGACACCGTAAATGTGTTTTGTTTTGTACGCAATCAATGAAAAGAAAAACAGAAATCTGCAGAGACATGAAATGCGCTACAAAACAAAAACGCAAATGTGCGTTTAATTGTTCACCAAAAAAATATATGTACATATATAAATGTTCATGTTACTTATTTTAGTCTTGTGTGTGTATATGTATAGCTTAGGCTTCGACTTAAAGCACTTTGTAACACCCAAAATAATAATCACGCCGCATGTGTATGTACCTATAAACATAAAGACAATAGGCTTGCCCAAATCTTCGACATACTCGTACTTTAAATCAATTTTTATATAAATTTGTAACACATTTATGTATATACTTTTATTTCATATGCTATTTATTAGAAACAATATCAAAACATTTTATGTTTCCAACAGAAGACTAAACGTTATCGTAGCTTCTTTACTAGCGCGCAATGCCAACCGAACCGCTCCACAACTAATTGAAAACTGAGCGTTATTTGCCGACGCTACGAATCGTCAACTAAGTGAAAATGTGAAAAAGCTCAACGTGCTTTTCTTGGCTCTCAAAATGTACTACACATGTTGTACTTTGCCCGTGGCTACTCAAACTTGTTAACTTTTATTGCTGTTGGTTGGGGCGCTTGTACATTAGGGTGGTCTAAACGTGCGATTGTTTAAAATGTGGGGCTCTCACCCCTAGAATTTTTCTAAATGAAAAAAAGAATATTCTTTTAAAAAAGTAAAAATTAAAAATTATTTTATATTGGAAAAAACACTTTTTCGTAGAAATAATATAGAATTTTTGAAAATCAATATTTTTCGATCGGAAAACCTTGATTCTCTGTAAGAGACTGATATTACCTGATTGTTCATTAATCCGTTTTTTAATATCAACTATTTTCTATAGGTCTCTCAAAAACCCCCAAAAAAATGCAATGGTGTGACCCATAAAAAATCATGAGTATTAAAAAATGGTTAAAAAAAATAATTGGGTGTTATTATTGGAAATCTCCTAAAGAGAAATAGAGTTTACCGATCGAAAACTATTGATTTTCAAGAAATCGATACCATTTCAAAAAGCGCTTGTCTCCATATAAAGTATGTAGATGGAAAACTTCATGGGCCTGAAGGCAGTTCTAAATGTACAGTGACGGGCAAAACTGTAACATGGTGTAACACTTTTTATTTCAGCCACCGCAACCTTTCCAAGTTCTAACGACATTCATACTTTTGTTGTATATTGTTATTGGTACACCCCTACTCCCACTCTCATAAAGATTTGAAGTCAATCCAACAACAATAATAAAACCAGCAGACAAAAATGTAAATTAAGGCATGTGTTACAGTTTTGCACTTATATATTTTTAATAACTTTTTGACAATTTTCACGAAAACAGAATTGTTAACGCAATGTTCAATATACTTTTGCTTTTTTTAGTTCCTGGGTGCAATTTGGCGTACCTTATTTGTATCTCTGTAAAAATTCTGGAGGTATATCCTTCCATATATCCTTGGTTTGATTTCGCAGCTCATGTACTCCATTGGACGGACTTGGATACTTAGTAAGCTGTGCTTTTAGTTGATTTTGCGAATTCTCGATGAGATTCATGTCCGCGGTTTGTGGAGGTCATTTCAAAATAGCAAATTTTTGCTTTTGCATCCAGTTTTTGCGAACATATGCAGTATGTTTTGGGTGATTTTTCAGCAGAAACTCTCATTTTTCGCTACATCTTGCAAATTTTGTTGAAATATGAACATACACTGTTCTCTACGCATAATGCGTACTAACGGACAACCAATATTTTTGAAATACAACCCCAAACTATTATTGACCGACCACTGTGATTCACAGTTTGCCTTACATGATGCGCTTAGGTTTAATTTGGGTCTTTGGTCCAATACCATGCCCGGCCATCTGATTGAAAGCGATTAATTTAGTCTTGTCAGACCAACTAACCTTCAATTAAATCTTAAAATTTTGTTTTTTTATTGAATTCTGTAAGGGCTAACATATTCCAATAGGCAACGGTCCCGTTTTCGTGCGATCCGGCAAAATGCTACCACTCTCGCGCATGTATTTTGATCGAAATGGTTTTTTTTCTTATATTATGCCTTTGCGTTCAATTTGACAATTCTTCGCCCCGCTGTCTACTGATTTGCATTCAATTTTAGTACTTTAAGCGGTTCTGTAATAGTGGCTGCAGCGCTTCTTGCTACTAAGTTCAGAAGATATCGGACCGTAATATTATTTTACAGACTTCCTTTGTCCTTAACAACAATTTAGGCTATATTTTTTCTCAGTCTTAACATTTTCACGTGGCGAGCTCCATAATTTTTTGCCACTTTTCCTACGGTCCCGCGTTTCCGCAGTAAATCTATTATTTACATTTATTTTTCCTGATTAACCATATTATTTACTGGTAATCACTTCTTGATTAAATTACAATACAGAAAAAAGTCATCTGACTTCCAACTAAGTAAAAGATAACTGTCAAATGCAAAACTGAGAGTGAGTGCATAACTGTAACATTGGCCTTAATTTACATTTTTGCCTGCTGGTTTTATTATTGTTGTTGGATTGACTTCAAATCTTTATGAGAGAGGGAATAGGGGTGTACCAATAAGAATATAGAACAAAAGTCTGAAAGTCATTAGAAGTTGGAAAGATGGCGGTGGCTGGAATAAAAAGTGATACACCATGTTTGTTCATCACTGTATATATATTTTTTTTTTTTACAAAAAAAAATACGTTATTCTGTCTATTTAGAAAAATCCTAGGGGGTGAGAGCTTAATATTTTAAAAATTTATTCGACCACCCTATTGTGCATACATTGTGGGTATAGAAGTGTCGATGATGATGTGGAGTGCCTTGGTACTGGTGGAAATAGTTGCCAATGGAAAGTAAAATGTAGAACATTTCTGAATAAGCTTCCAAAATCAAAAAACAAAAATTATACAGTAGTTACATATATCGATGGTCTTCTGCAATAACGACACAATCCAAAATTCAAAAATGAAAAATCTTGCTACTGTGAAATGTCTTAAAACTCTAATCCTTGTCTAATCCACGTTTTGTCCTTACTAAAGTAAGTGCTAACGACAAATCGTTACATCCAAATAAACGAATGACAAAACTGTATACCTTTGGCTGATGAAAATGAACGATTTCCAGAAGCGATCAGATACAGATAACAGATCAAATAAGCACCAGAGTTAATAAGTGACATAGAACGTTTTACAGTATCACCGACGATATACAAAATGTTTACTAGTATTTGATAGTTTTTCGTAGGTTTGCCTTCAACAATTCAAAAAACTTGGGCGCAGGACAGTAATAGAATATCTTCATGTGACATATAGTGAGATTGAGACGGCCTTGAGCACGCTACTATCAGGGTGATCCATCTGGAGCTGTTTTTATTTTAAATAAAACACTTATAGCAGAACTAGATATCTGAATCTTTATTATTACCCGAAAAAATCTCTGGTATTTACTTTTTAAAAATAGTCTCATTCAAATGCTGTCCGTAGACAAACATAACCTTCAATAGCGAGCACTACCGCATGACACGGCTGTCCCCACGACAACCGAGTTTTACCCGAGCAAGGGCTGTTCTTTCGGCAATTTAATCTGGTTTATGTCGGCGAAATCTCTTAAACGTTATTCCTCCATTGGGCAACATCTGCTCCGTAATCTTCTGCTCAGGGCTGGCATAGAGTCAAACGCAGGGACGGTTGTATCCAAACTCCACCTCGATCAGGTGCAACACCTGCAAGGGGTGGAGCTACTTCCGCACATGTCTGCACTTAAGAACTGGCCGGCAGTGGACCAGTAGTTTGTGGCCCCATGCTGTGCATACCGGACCGCCTCTCCGGCACACCGGAGTTCACCCGAGCAAGACAACACCAACTCAACCACACCCCAACACAACACAACCATAGACACACACGGACTCAACCGCATCCCCACCAACGCTCCGCCGCCTGCATATCCTAGTCCTTCTCGGTATGTCGGTCCAGACTATATCGTAACAAAACATCAGTCAAGTGCAATTCCTGCCTTGTCTGGTGCCACTTTAGGGCATCTTCCGGACTGCGCACCACGCGAGATTGGACGAGTGACTATGTGGGTCGCTGCTGTGCGGGGCACCGAAATTGCGCATATGGAAACTGTGCATTTAGACATTATTTCGGTTTCAACCGAAACTGTGCATGTATGCTTTATTTCGGTTTTTACCATATGCATTATTTCGGTTTTAAACCGAAACTGTGCATGTATGCATTACTTCGTTTTTTTTTCATATGCATTATTTCGCTTTTAAAACGAAAGTATGCATATGCATAATTTCGGTATTTTCTCATATGCATTATTTCGGTTTTCAACCGAAACTGTGCATGTATGCATTACTTCGGGTTTTTCATATGCATTATTTCGGCTTTCATCCGAAACTGTGCATGTATGCTTTATTTCGGTTTTAGCCATATGCATTAT